GACAATGGAAAAAAAAACCCTCCCCATCTGGTCTCCTTCGTCCGTTAGCAAGCAGGGCCAAAATCAGCTGGTTCAAGTTAAAATCAAAAGAATTTAATATCTAACAAAAGCAAATGCAGTTACAAACTGAATCACACTATTAATAGCAAAATATCCCATCGAATAGAGACCTAATATGTCGCACACTACAGACTGGCGTTCACCAGTCTAAGCTGCAATGTACTCCACATCAGGTCTGACCTCCTCTGGACAATCACAGTCTTTTGTCTTCCAAGTGTTGTACCAAGTTATGCACAGAATGAATCTTGTAACTTTATTTTTTGTTGAGTAAACTTTTAAAATGGAGTTTATGCCTCTGAAGAATAATTTCGCGTCAAGCTTATTGCCAATACACAGACTGTAACAGTAGTGGTAATGTGGATTATCAGACGGAGAGAAGATTGCCGCTACGCGCACGTTAACGCTGATGTACTTGTAGGCCAGCTGTCAAAGAATACGCCCAACAAACTAAAGATCTGATTGGTTGAAGACTATGACAATCAACAGTATCGTCCCCATTTATTTAAACTGCAATGGGATTCACTTGTAATTCTGAAGGCCTCCGGGCAGATTTTTTTACTTGGAGACAGCATAGGGGCGGAATCTGATTGGATAAAAGCTCTACTTTAAACAAGCTGCGCTGGAAGCAGAGCAACTGAGGAAGACAGTAGCTGTGCAATGAGATAATAAGATAATGGGGAAAAATATTTACAATACATGTAGTGTATTTATGAAAAGTTATAAAATTATAAAATAGCTATAACTTTGTGATTCTGTCTAGGCCGGCAGAGAAGGCTTTGCCGGCCCTGACGGCCCACCACTGGCATACAACATAAAAGTTTGGAAAATGTAGAACAAATATGGAATGCAGGAGCATGTGGTGTAGCGCGGCATTAAAAGTGATACCTGGAAGAAATTTTGTTTTAATCTGTGGGTACATCCCAAGTCTCTTAATTGCATCCTTAGTCCCTCCCACCAGGGATGCATGGAGAGACACAAGGAAACCATGCGAGGAGAGACGAAACAATGAAATATGTTTTAAGAGAAACGAGACGTCCTTTCCTCAGTTGTGTCACGTGAAGCCACATCTGTTTCTGATGATGGCGGATCAGCTGATCACAGCTGGATCAGCTGTCAGTCATCTTTAACAGCTAGAGAGAATTTTGAGGAGTTTTCTGTTCACATGATCACTGTACTTAATAATAGTAACTAATAATACTAATAACTAATAAAGACACAGTTATTATCATTACCAGAGTAGAGGTGATTTCTCTCAACTTCATTGAGTATTTATACACAGTCTGTGGTATTTATACTGTGTTCTGTGTCCTGTTTATAAGCGCAGGAACGATTTCTACTGGCAGAATGCGTTTGTCATATTATTTGCGTGTGTATGTTTTGAAATTCCGATTGTGACGTCAATATTAAATAACACAGAATATGATTATTGTGTTTTTTGAACACTAGAATTAATTTATTAGGCTCCATGTTTCGGGGGAAACTGAAATGATTTAACTCATCAAACCAGACACTCAGGAATGATCAGCCTCACTTGACTGAATGGAAATGATGATAAATGATGTAAAAAGCTCTCTCTGACTTTAATTGCATCCATAATAAAAGTTATTGAGAGAAATATCAGATCATGAAAAGACAAATCTTTCTAAAGAAAGTTGTTTGTGGTCCTTTTGTTGTTCAGTCTACAATGAACATATTTAAACCAGATGGTGAATCAGAAAACTAATCAAATATCAAACATTAAAACTTTAATCTGTGATCTGTCTTCACTCTGGAATGAAACTCCAGTGATGTTGAGAAAAATCAGATCAGTCCGATCAGCTGCAGTGTTCAATCACTTAACTGATGAACAATGAGAGGGCGTGTCAGCCATTAAAACACTTCCTGGAAGACTGTTCTTGTGTGTCCTCGCTCATGGCTCCTCAGAGATCCCTCCTCCATCCTTGATCCGAGCAGAAATAAAAGCTTTGGAACGGCCGTCAATAAGGCGGAGCAGAACAACTTTCTCAAGCGAGGATCGAGGAAATGACGAATAAGAGACTTGAGATGTACGCCTAGTTGCATTTTTTCCAACAAAGAAGTGATCTGACTTTCTGTAAATGCAAGGACAAACCACAGCTGCTCAGCAGGATGTGTCGCATTTCACATCTCGCTTAGATGAAACCAACGTCATATAAAAATCAGCACACCCGAAAGGAAAAGTCCCTACTGCCAGTCTATTGATCTCTCATTTCACAGTTCAAGAGGCGTTTTTAGACAGAACAAGACTTCACTCAATCAATGTGACAATATTTTGATTTATTTTATTTTTGAATGGATTATTATTCAACCATCAATAGGCTCAAACATAAATAAATAGGCAACACGTAAATACATAACTATTTGGTCGGTCTACTATTTTGCAGAACCTTTATAGTCAAACACTAGCAATGACGAATAAAAAAAGACCTTTCGCTCATTTACAAAAGTTAACACTGTCAATCAAATGCTCTAAACAAACCCACCAAACAAAAATACTTCCTCTTAATTAATTCAAAATGATGAATCGGAATCATATCGTCCGCCGGGATATTTGTTGATAAAGAATAAAAAACAGGTTCTGGCCATGCACGGCCGGCCCTGCTATTTAAACAAAGAACATACAAACTCTGATAACAACACACACAGAGGGAGAGAGACTTCATTATCTGCTCAGGTAGACATTACTCCACTATATCTTTACATAGCAAAGACTGATGCTCTTAATGTTGTATAGAGAACCTTTAAGGAAGTTAAAGTCGTGGATTTTATTAAGCAATCCCTGCTGCTATTACACCATCACACCAATTCACAGGCTGTTTTAATCTGGGGAGACTAGCATGAATGCAACTGGGTAAGTAACATGCATCATCACAGAATTAGTGTGAATGTGAGTGTTGAACAAAGAAACATCTTCAGGTTCCTGAAGCCAAACGTATTGGCCTCCAAACAAGACAGAGGATGCTGTCAGAACTGTAAAATCTCAGGAGCAACCATGAGATGGATTTCATGCTTTACATGCAATTTACAAGGCACAAGAGTTCAATTCTCTTTCTAGATTTTGCTTGTCTTTTGTGGTTCACAAACAGTCAGGAGACATGCGAGCGACAGTGATGCAGCACATCACAAAATGTTTTTTCATATCTTGTCTGTTGATGCATAAAGAATGCAACTGCATTATTGTTGATGTGACAAAAAACATACCTCCACTTTCCCGTACAGCGTGGCCACGGAAAATATTACATTTGCCTCCAGGGACTTTGTCAGATCTGGCGCCTCCCTTCTCAGCAATTCTTTGGCCCATGTTTGTGTTTTTCCAGTAGTAGAAGCTCCGCCCTTTCAGAGAAAGAGGTGAGAAGCCTAACCGACATAGACGATTGGCTGATTCTCGTGCCATCACTTTGTGAAAGCTGGTGCAAGTCTGGTGATTTGATATCACGCGTCTTGGTCTCATTGTCAACGTCACTGAAGGTGCTTTCCAGCCAAGCCAGTGATCACGCAGTATTGTCACAGCGTAAGGAAGCACATTGCCAGCCAGATAAGTGACAACTTTGGTTTGACTCATTTTCTGTATCCACTGTAGCATAAATACAGGGTGGAATTAGCAAGCTAGCTATGTAGCCAGCTGCTAAATGAGTCAAATTTAACAACTTATTCGGTCTACGCTCTTGTCACAGCATCGGCAGGCACATTAGTACCGCCAGAGAATTCACCAATCATAGCACAAACTAGGCTTAACACTCTTGGGAAACAAAATAGAAGTAGTCTTTGTATCGATATTTAATTCTACGCCACTTGCACTGGTCATTGCATTGTCACGTGGATAATTTAAATTGTGTGTCCATTATGAAACAGGACACCTAATTTACTTTTGATTGGCATGGCTTTTGTCCTGAAGGACACTAAAACAAAAAAACACCTGCAAGTACAATAAACCAATAGATGGCATTTTGGGACTTTTAGGACCTGCCAAGATACTGGAATGCTTCAGCAGATGATGCATGTAAACCTTCAATGGTGTGGTCCCAACATTGAATTCAGTTCTTAAGCTCCTTATTTGTCTATGTGACAAAACACAACGAGAAACATCATGCATGACAATGAAATAATTAAATTAATTCAATATTTGGAGAGGTATTTTTTTACATAAATCTATAACTAATCTCTCAATAGAGAATGATTACAGTTCTTTATACATTTGAATAATTAGTCACGGACACAAAATAGCTGTTGAACACTTGAAAAACTGCAGGGACCAAGAAAGGAGTGAATAAAACTAGGAATAAAGACTTTATTGATATGTAAATCAAGGCTAGTTATAATAGGAACATTGCATGTGGTCGAATAGTTGGTCATTACAGAATATCTTCATTTTGTGAAATTGTGGAGAAAAAGTTACACTGGGAAAAAACTTGGTCAAAGGCAGCATTTCAGCTCTGAGATGAGAGACTGACGTTTATTTCACATTAATATCGACATACCGTAAGTTATACACTGTTTGTACATACAGTTGAAAGCAGGGTTTGATTTTAGAATGCATTCACTGTTCAAAAATCCAAACTAAAGAATCATCTTTAGGTTGACTTCATCCTTCAAAAAGAGATTACATTTAAAAACATGAAACCAAGCAACAAATCAATATGCTGGAAAACCTGGAAGTAGATACTTTGGTGCTTTTTCTGGATAAATAGTTAACTGTTAAAACTGTCCCTGATCAATTTCCCATGACAAGTCAATAACCACCAATTAATTGAGTTGATTACAATCACAGTCACAGTTTCTGCAATTTATTTGCTTGAAACATGTCTGATAAGAACTGCCAGCCACTGTGGTGGGTTTTACAAAAAGTTAATATCACACCCAGATCTCAACAGAACAATTCATTTAGTTCTGTGTCAGATGACCAAAAGTGAGTTTTTTTTCCATCAGATAGCAGGCATGGTGTTGGAGCAGGAGGCTATGTCGGAGATGTCCAGGTTGTCAGCGTTGTCCTGAGAGGCAGCAGCCAGTATGGTTTGAAACAGAATGACTCTCTCTAGCAGCTCATCCATGAAGGGGAAGTTGTAAACCTGTTGGCCTGTTGTGTCTCTGTCCTTCCTCTGCTCCTTCAGAGTCCGCTCCGCTTCCTTGTACATTTCTTCACTGAAGGGCTGTCCTCCATTTGCCGCCACCATCTCATCGATCTTCTTGATCAGCTTAACCACTTGACTCCTTTTCCAGTTGTTGTTGTTGTTGAAGACATGGTACCGGTTACCACATCTGTTTATCACCTCTCTAAGTTTCGGGTGGCCGTTTTGCACATACTCACTAATGGTTCTGGGCTTCAGCTCATCGCCACGCGTGAACAGAACGATCATGTACTTGGACGCCTCGGGTCCGAAGATTTTCTCCAGGGCTTGCACGCAGTTCTCTTCTTCTTTGGTGAACCTGCCGACCTGGATGACCAGCAGGAAGGCGTGAGGGCCGGGAGTGGACACCTGGATGCATTTTGCAATCTCTTTCTTTATGCTCTCTGCACTTTTAGACGTATCCAGGATCCCAGGCGTATCGACCACGTGGATCTCTCTGCCACCGAATGCTCGTTCTGTCTTGCAGGTCATCGTCACAGAATGCGCACTCGCCTCAGAGTGGAAGACATTTTTACCCACGATGGTGTTACCGACTGCACTCTTTCCAACTCCAGTTTTCCCAATCATCACGATCCTCAGTGGAGAACCTGCAAATAGTAATATATTATACAGTAAAACCCATCACATGAACCCATCACATGAACCCATCACATAATTACTACAAGTGTTAGGTGCAATATGCTGAAAGGAGCTTAAGAAGATCGTAACACTGCACCTTCAGGGATCGAGGAGTTTATACCCATCTTTGTCTGTCCTGGACTTTTTGTAAAATGAGAGGAGGCAGAGCTCACTATTATCTTAGTGTGAAGCCACTTTCAGCTCTCCGCCCACTGGGTGGATCAACCTATATCAGTGTGTTTCAGTCTGACACACTCCAAAGCTGATCCAGAGACTACTGTGATACCTCCCTGCTGACTGATCTCTACCGAGCAGCTAAAATGAGTTCTAAAGGAGATCCACCACGTAAGTGATGCTTGTGTGGTTTTTTTTCAATAGTGTGTGTGTGGGGGGGGGGGGCATTACATGCCCCTATCTTAAACCCCTGACATATTGAAAAATTGTAACAAAATTATTTGAAGAAATATTTTTGTTTTGCATCTGGAGTTGCTAATGTATATTCAAATTCAAAAACACCAGCAATCTGGTGCACTTTGAGAGCGAAATTTAGAGGCTGGATGTATGAAAAACGTTGTGCTCTTGTAAACAATGTTGTGCTTTTGTTTTATCAGTAACAAAGTACATTTACTCAAGTACTGTACTTAAGTACAATTTTCAGGTACCAGCCTACTTAACTTGACTATTTCTATTTTACGGTATGTAACTTTATACTACTAGTTAATTACATCTCAGAGTGAAGATTTGTACTTTTAACTTCATAAATAAATTTGACAATATTAGTTACTAGAGGCTACTTTGCAAATTCAGATTCTTAATACAAAATATAAATCAACTAATAAACTATGATGTATTAAGTAGTGTATGATTATTAAAGTACTTAAAATGAGCTTATTACATTACAGTAATCCCTGCAGACTCTTTTATCCAAAGCAACTTACAATTCTGATTCTATTACATTCATACACCGTAGGCACAGCTACGGGAGCAATTTTGGGGTTAGCCCCACCATTAAGTGTCTTGCTCAAGGACACATCGATATGCGACTAGCGGTGCCGGAGCCATGGATCGAACCGCCGATCGAAGGACAGCCCTGCTCTCCACTTAGCCACAGTTGCTTTTGAAAACCAATCAACTTGGCCTATTTTTGCTTGGTAACAAATATATGCTTTTTTATTTGCATTTCCACAACACATATCAAAATTATAACTTTTATAGTGAGATTTAACCAAAAAATCTTTTTCAGATTTGTTTTTCAACACAAAATTGTTTCCTCCTTGGATGATCTTCCTGAACACTGTACCGTTCATGCTCATTACTATTTTCCTTATTATGACAAATATGTCACATCGGTTTTTCTGAGACAATTATAAGTTTAAAGCGATATTTTTCTATAACTTTTTAGACATATATTACTTTGATAAACATGGTTAGAACAGTTTAGATGTAATGTAGGACATGTAATCAAATAATTAGAATTGTTAAATGTGTTGAAACCTTTAACAACAAAAACAATCTTTTTGAAATTAACTAATTCTGCCAAATGTGCTGACCAGCCATGCAGCCATTTTGGAAGTGATGTCATTGGTACCCAAATTAACTCACTGTCACATAACTTCACCAGGATGTTCCGTATGTGTCACTTAGGGACTTCAAGAGTTATAATCAAGGATAAAACTGTAGAGGTAACTTTCCAGGATATTAAAAGTGTCTGTGACACCTGTGTCACCATGGGACCTTATGGGTAGTGATGAAAGCATTAATGCATCAATAATTATCATCAAATTATAAATATATTATTTGAAGTGGGCCATTCTGCATAATGAGTATACTTTGACTTATTGAACTTTAAGTATATTCTGATGCTAATACTTTTGTACTATTACTAAAGTAACATTTTTAATGACTATTTTTACACTGTAATTCAATCATAAACACATTGTGAATGGAGATGACATGGCAAAAAATGTCACACAAAGCGTGGTAAACGAGATGGGCTCCGTGTTTAAAGCCGGGTTGAAGCGTGCACTTAGGACAGTTTCGCCAGAAACAGGGGGTCCTTCACTCCCCAGAGCGAGATGAAGCACAGCGGGCACTGAGTTCACGGCCCTGGGAAGCGGGACGGTCAGTCACATTTGTCTATATTACTCTGTTGCCAGAGACACACTGCGGAATACGTCACAGTACAGAAGCTAAAGACACTCTGACTTCTGTTTCACTGAGACTTTAAAGGTTACACCATCTTTCCACCAAAGCCAAGTATAGAAAAAAATTTCAGATTTTTCTTTGCATTTTCCTGCATTTCCACTAACATATTTAGGCACAAACGTTATTCTGCAAACATGGACTCTTCTTACACGCCTTCTTCCTCAAAAAAGTGCAGCGCTAACATCAGTTTGCACACAGCTAATTAGGCAGTCATTTTCTATATTGTTTATGCTGTTAACAAAACACTGTTTGCTTGCTGCCGACAAACAGAAACTGACACACCCCTGTAGTGCACGAGAGTATGTTATTTCCAGATTGTGAATTAAAACCTTTACTGTTGTGTTTGTCACTACAGCATATGCTCCAAAAAAATTCATCGTCGCTATGTTTGGAAAGAGGGTCCAGTTAAAGAACGCCATTGGAAAAATTATCCTCCATAGTGATAGTGCTTTTAACGAAGTGTCTAACAATGTCGTCGTGGAAACCAATGAAAGATTCAAAGTCGTCAATACCCCTGACTTCTTTAGAGACGATTGTCTGAACCTGGACCAGATGATTATTGACTTCATGGCACATACTCTTCCTGGCCCTGATCTGTTCATACTGGCCATAGATTCAGAAAACTCACAAGAGGAAAAAGTCATGGCTCAAGTCATTAAACTTCAGGAAACCTTTGGTGAAAATATCACAGCAAAGTTGCTCATCATTTTACAGGACATTGAACACTACTTTTCACTGAAACAAAGGTTCAGCAACCACTTGGTAGTCGCCAATGAATGTGTGGACAAAGTCTGTTTGAATTGCTGTTCAGCCAAACCGTCTTTCCAGTATGACTACAAAAACTACAGTGAAGATGTAGTGATGAGAAGAAAGGCAACCTTTGAGAAGATAAGGTAGGATCATCATTACTACATAACAGTTCTGCCCTGGGGGAACTGGGGTATTTTCCAAGAATACACATATTGTGTATTTTGTCAATCAACTAATCACCTTAAATACGTGGTCAGTGTTACATCTTTGTTTAAATTGTTCACAATTTATTGCCCATTCAAGTAGGAGAAATTAATTAACCCTTTCATGCATAGAGGTCACTACATAAAATACAGAAAATCATGCTCTAGATTTCCAAAAAGTCAAATTTCAGAAACCCGCTATGAAAGACTTTGACGGACACAAAGTAGCCCCAAAGCAGGTTGGGACTTCTCTCTATTGCTATCATCTTGCATCTGGTCTATTTCAGATACGATGGCCATTCACCGTCTCACCATGGGAGAGAAGGTAAATATCTGGTTTCAATTACTTTCTATTGTACTTTATTTGTAAAATGGTTACAGCCCATTATTCTGAAAAAAAAACAATAGTCCAAAAAATGGCCCATTGTACCGAAAGCTGGAACGGTTTCCGACAGCCCGTTATCCAGAAATTGTTTTGGATGGAGTTCCAAATTGAAATTCGGTCATCCAACAAGCATTTTCGATGAAGCAAAGCGGCTGCTGTAACGAAACAAGTGGCTAGTTGGGTGCTTTGGCCTCTGATAGGTATCCATCCTGGAGGCCTCCCTGTGGAGGCACATCCAACTACGAAGAGACCCTCAGGGTAGAACCAGAACACCCTGGAGGGGGACTACATATCCCTTCTGGCCTGGGACCACCTTGGGATCCCAATATGACAAAAACAACTCTGCAACATTTGCTAACTAACTGGAAGAATCTACTTTATTTCACCAACGCTTGTCGTCACAGGACCTTCATAAGAAAAGCCTTGTGTCACAACAGCTAGTGTTGCAGAGTTTTCATATTCCGTCTTTTGTTACTTGAGCATCTAGTTGGCTGAAGTAGCAACAGCACACTGCATCAACACCTTGGAATCCCATAGCCACAGGAGAATAGCATGAAACAGGAGTCAGAAACTGATACAACTAATCTGTTGAATGAAATGAGAAGAGAAGCTGCATGTGCTCCTCTCCATATTAAACCTTGACCGCCAAACATTGTATTAAATGTACTTTGCTGTGCCAACCAGGAACAGAGACCTCACATTCTAAAATGTACTTTCAGCTCACTGTATGTTTTATAAACTAACGCAGGTTAAAGAGCAACAACTAGCTGTGAGAAAAGTGCCAGGTGCAATTATAAAGGTTTTTTTAAACTTGCCTTTATAAACAGCAGTATGTATGTTGCATCCTCACAGGTGCCAACACCATGATTCCGTCCACCTCACAAGATTCCTTTGCTGCAGCAGCACCTGAACATCACATTGGTATGCTTCAAGAGATACAATTTGACAAATATATCAAAATATAATAAGATAGACATTGTGACAAATGTAATGTCCATCTGTGTTTAGCAGCATCCCTTTGCTAATAAAGTGTAATTTAAGGGGAAAATGCTGAGTTATTCAAACACGTAAGGTTATCAACAGGTCTAATGTGCGAGCATTTATGTTTAAGATCTTTTGATGAAATGATTTTCACAAAAACATGGACATTTTGCTCTAACTGTCTTCAAGGTAACAGGGCCTTGGATTCGTCAGATGACACATTTAACATTGTTCTGCTGGGACTAAGTGGGACCGGAAAGAGTGCATCAGCGAACACCATCCTGACTGCTGGGAACTCCAAGATAAATTGAATAGACCTTTTTAAATCTGAGTCAAGCTCCTTACCAATAACTACCCAGTGTGTGGTCAAAGTAGTGGAGAAGCCATTCGGGACCAGGGTGAGACTGGTAGACACTCCAGACTTCTTTAACGACGAAGTGAAAGACTCCCAGGCACAGGTCGATGAGTGTAAGAAGTACTGTCAGCCAGGGCGATGCGCGGTGTTACTCGTGTTGCAGGTTGGCCGGTTCACGGGCAGTGAGAGAGAAATAGTACAAAGGCTGGAGGACAAGCTTGGCTGGAAGATCAGAGAAAGCACAATCGTGCTGCTGACCCACAGAGAGGACCTGAAAGGAAGTCTGGATGACTTTATAAATACACATGATGGCCTCCGGACCATTGTTGAACAGTGCGGCGGTCGTTATCACCTATTCAACAACAACTCAAAGAACTCTAAGCAAGTTCTAAAACTCATCAAGAAAATTCCTTACTTTAAAAATATTCTCCCAATGTTTGTCAAAAACAAAGATGCTGAGTGCTGTGTACTTTAGCCTAGCTATATGTGCTGATCAGTGCACTCCAGATGTGCAAATGACGATAGACACACAACGATTAGCGTAGCATTGTCTGACTCACGATGGACAGTAAAGGATTCAAATCAATGCAGGGCCAGAGATATCGGCTTTTTTATTCCACGCATTCTTTCTCCTGATTAAAACCTGGTGCTCACAATGCAACTCAATTCAGGTGTGTTCTGCTTGTTGCAGCTAACGTAGCCCCGGGGCAATGCCCTCAAGCAAAGATGAGCAGCTTTATACAACTTTTTTCATATACGCAGTAGTACTGCCTTAGACCTGTAAACAGACGTTGATGTAGAAGTGTATTATATTGTCTTCTTTCTCCAAAGTTCTATCATTTTTATTTGTTTGATTTTGCATTTTAGTATTTTGCATTACATGTACTAATGATTGGAGGAGCCTACACCTCCTGGGGATGGTGGCGGTGGGGTCACTGCTGCTACTGCTACTGGTGTGTAACTTGCATCTATTTGAAATTGTAAGTATTAAACAGCCTGTCTATAGTGAATCTAGAGAATCGTAAAAGCGATTTTTGTTTTGTGTGTTTTGGCCACCGGATCGTTTGTATTATTTGTGTCACTCGAAATAGACGCGCTGGCGTTTACCTCCATGTAGACACAACAACCAGGGTCGAAATAACTAATGTTGCTTTGTACATGTTGTGAAAGTCCCAGATTCGTCGGTACATCATCCGGAGCTGTATTCAATGTATCTAGCAAGCCACAAGTCGGCTAGTTTACAACAGCCGTAAGGACCAAAATAAACAGATTTTTTTCTGTAATTTAATTGCAATAAAGAGATAAAAAGCAGGTCTGTGTCGGTCACAGGCCCGAAGTCCTCCTTCAGGTCTGTGTCGGTCACAGGCCAGAAGCCCTCCTTCAGGTCTGTGTCGGTCACAGGCCCGAAGTCCTCCTTCAGGTCTGTGTCGGTCACAGGCCAGAAGTCCTCCTTCAGGTCTGTGTCGGTCACAGGCCAGAAGTCCTCCTTCAGGTCTGTGTCGGTCACAGACCCGAAGTCCTCCTTCAGGTCTGTGTCGGTCACAGGCCAGAAGCCCTCCTTCAGGTCTGTGTCGGACACAGGCCCGAAGCCCTCCTTCAGCTCTGTGCCGGTTGGAGCTGCGCTGCTTGAGCAGGTAAAATCCAGTGTTAAAGATTCTGCTACTTTTATTATTTTTCTCCTCTTTTGATTTTGTATTATTACCAGCTGCAGAACTGGAAATCTGGGTCGCATCTATAATGGTGCAGCAGTTTTAATAAAAAGGGCGACATCGTCTGTTAATTGACTTGATATCAACTGCTTGTCCCAAAACATTAACTGTTTAATTCCCTTAATTTATTACATAGATTTAATTTAATGAGGAACAATAACGGAGAACAATGATGTTTACCCTGTTTAAGAATCTTTTTCTAGTTCCATATGTTGAGGTCGTCATGAAATATATAGTTAATAATAATGAGTAAAGTATATTTCTAAAATTTTGTCTGAAACCAAATAGTTTTAGTCATTGCAAAATAAATGAATGTTCAACCATATCAATGCTTTATAGAAATCTGAAATATATATTGGAACCATCTTCCTCCAAATGAGGGTTTAGTTCTGTCTCACTGTCAAGTCATCGAGTGTTTGAGGACTTCCTCACAGACATTTTGAGCCCTTTATGAACCCTTTCCTTAAGATTGCATTCTTGCAGACTTTGTGTTTGGGAATTACCCACAATTCAAAGGGTAAACACGGGGTTACCAAAAGGTAAACAAAGAGAACAGCTCATTCAATTTAAACAGAAACATCAAGGATTTAAGATGGTACATAAAAACACATGAAATCAGAGGAATGCAGAGACTTTATTACACATCTAATTTATTCATCAACCATTTCTTATCAATTTGTTTTTAAGCTGTTTTGACACTAACGAGTTAATAGATTGTTTGACAATTATATCTCATCTCGTAAGGAAAGAGCCATCATTCACCTCAATCATTTTACTGGTGCGTCTTGAATCTGCTTTTGGGTCCAACTAACTTTTTTAAGTCTATTGGCTATTAAATGAGTGAAGATTTTATGTTTAACATTTAAGTTGCTAATAGGCTTGAGGTTGTCAATGTGTCTTTTATCTGTCACAGGTTGTATAACCTGCAGACTGTGCTTAATTTGGTCGCTAAGCATTATCTGTTATTGCAAATGTCTCCCCCTTGTGTTTTGTTTTAGTATTAGTCTGGTTTTGTTGAAGCCATGCTGGGACAGCAGTAAGATAGAGATGTATGATATGGTTTGTTTGGTTGTTTAACAATATTAAATAAAGAGGGGAAACAACTGACAGCACTGAAATGTAATTGCAATTGGGCCGCAATGCTTTTTAATTTTCACGTAATATTATATATATATATAATATATAGCAAAGTGTATTTCCCACAATGTTCCATTATTGTAACCACTGACCAGCTTCTCAACCAAGAAGAGCGATAAAGAAGGAAAGAAAGAAAGCAACAGATCAATAAAAAAAGAAACAAAACATGAGAAAAGTCTGCATATCTTCATGTCGCACTCCGCCACAGACGATCTTTGATGCATCGTCATCTTTTCGTCCAGGCTCGGAGTGATGACGTGAGCAGCGTGCGACAGGACCAGGACAGCCTGGGCTCCTGAGCGGAGTTGGCAGCAGCGGCAGTCGAACAGAGATGGCTGCCCCCACGGAGCGCTGCCGCGGCGGTGGCGGAGGGTTTGCTGGGTGTCCGCGGACGACGAAGCCTTGGTGGCGGCTCGCGGTACTCCTGTTCTCCGTGTCCTCCCTGCCGGCGGTCACCGCGCTGGTGGACGGCCTCTACTGCGGCACCGAGGTCTGCTACGATGTGCTCGGTGTCACCCGGGAGGCCGCCAAGTTGGATATCGCCCGGGCTTACCGGCAGCTGGCCCGCCGGTACCACCCGGACCGGTTCCGGCCGGGAGAGCCCGGCTCGGAGGGAGAGACCCGTGAGTCCGCCCATACGAAGTTCCTGCTCATCGCGACTGCGTACGAGACGTTAAAGGTCGGTCCAGGTCTCTGTCAAAGACCCTGGAGTTTCATTCAGAAACTTCCAGCGGCCACTCGTGTCTGTTTAATCTACGAGACCTTTATGTCCACGTGTCCAATAACATCCTCATTAACTCCTCTAACGTTAATACAGTATAGCACTTTGTCCACTTTCTCCTTCCCAATACTCCTGTAGGGATTATTGTGTCCATATGTATAATATAATGTCCACGTAGGGACTGATGTTGCCTTATGATGACGTATGTGCTAGTGCCATACAGCGATACTGTCATTTTCTTTTACAGTGTCTGTTTATCTGCTATGCCATGGTTTACCATAGTCGTAACATTCATAAATTAACTTAATATTATTATTCTATGTGATTACATCCTATTGGTCACAATCCACGATGGAACTAGTGGTTCCTCACACATTGATGTTCATGATGAACATGGTGATATTCATATAAATCTGATTTTCATGTCCCTTAATGTGCCCTACTGCAAATTCTGCCTCGTAGTTTGCATCTCTGTACTGTTCTATATTAATATATAATATTAATGATAATCCATATGTTTCTTTCCCTGACATTCAGACATTATGCTTTTGTAATAATTCAGTCATTTATTTCCCACAGCAATACTTCCCAACCGGTTTAGTTCAGTGCAACCAAAGAGATGATTGTTCTCAGGTTGTTTCATTGAATGGATTTATAGCAGTGAAAGTGTACTGTGTAGCAGAAATTATAGTAATTATAATAATTTACTTATCTTGTGACCTCTCAGATTTATATCCCAGGTTGTCTTAGAGAGGTTTTAACATCACCCATTTTTTATTTTTTTTAAATGGTACTCTCACATTTATTTACCATCCGGGTATAAGAAGTTCCCCGCACTCCTCTACAATAATCGAAGCGGTAAAAAACAAAGCATCTTTAAAATGTTCAGCACTTCGCACACATTTTCTGTGAGATTAGATGAGTCCGGCGCGGTTACACACTGAGGTGGAAGTTTCCTGAATAACCTAAATATTGATGGGTATAATTGCAGCACTGATGTACATGTTCAAACGCTTGGTTTGTGTCCACATAGGCAGAGAAGATTACTTTTGGCCCCACAAGAAGAAATTCCTCTGCAGAATTTGCACTTTAAAACATACCTGAGAGAGGTGAATAACTGCTGCAGGTATTAACAGAGATATCCTAAGACTTAACATAGTTTTTTATTTGTTTCTTTGGCAACACTATAAATAATATTGTAGAACCAGGTTTGGCTGAGCTCCTCCTGCAGGTCTTAATAAAACTAAACCTTCTTTTAATAACAGAAATGATGTGTCTCTGTCTGTGTGTGCAGGACGAGGACGCTCGGAGGGACTACGACTACATGCTGGACCACCCCGAGGAGTACTACCAGCACTACTACACCTACTACCGCCGACAGCTCACCCCCAAGGTGGACGTCAGAATCGTCATCCTGGTCACCATCTGTGCCATCTCCATCTTCCAGGTATGACCGCAGCCAGAAAACTACCAGCAGGTTCCAAACACACGGCAGGCAGGCAGACTATGTGGGAAGTTTTTATTTTGTCAGAAACAGAGACTTCTGACTCCTGACTCTCAGACCATGGGAAATAAAAGTCCTCTAAAGAATACATCTGGTGATATTCTTTTGTCGTCCTACTCAAACCAACGATGAATATACTCTACTAGCAAGTATCGTGTGTTTATCAACGCCTGATATATTCTCATATAGAGCTCCATTCTTGTGCGAAAACTATTGAAACTCATCAGTGAACCCAGTGTTGCACTGGTTGACATGTTACTTTATTAACCCTGAACACACACACACTCAATCCCACATGCACCGTTTTGTTAAATAGGTGGAAATACTCACGAGAGCACCAAATGTGGATTAATCCGCCACTGAAAATAGTCCCAAACAAATGCACAATTTCCTCCCGTTTGAGTGGCATTTGCTGAAACCTAGTGTCAAGCATTTTTAGAAAAATAAACCACACTTGTAAGCCATTTGAAAGATTTCTTCAGTAAAAAGACAAGAGCAGTGAAGGCAGAACGTATTGAGAGACGGACGGAACACATTGTCGGTCTTTTAACGGGACTTGTTGACACGGTAAGAAAAATGATTTTGATGGAGGATATTTACTTCTCTTTGTTTACACAGTTTATACAGCTGAAGGCACATTTTCATCTGTGGTCGTATGTGACCCGGGCTAATTATCAAACCTCGATACTGACCATGTGTGCGTAGCATGGAGTATCAGCTGTTGTCGAATACTTTACTTATTCTATGAAGTAAATTTTTCATTCTTCTTACAGTACACTTTGATATTTAGGTAATGTTTTTATCTAACCGTGATACGTTGACATACTTACTCAATTTGTTTACTTATCTGAGATCCAGACTATTTATTTAGTGAAAACTGCGACTAGAGTAAGCGAGGCAGGTAAGGTCAAAGCGGGTAAAACCCCCGTTAGCACACACGCACCTCTCACCTCCCTGTCTCTCCTCCAGTACTACAGCTGGCACAGCAGCTACAACGAGGCCATCAACTACCTGGTGACGGTGCCCAAGTACCGGATCCAGGCCACGGAGATCGCCAAGCAGCAGGGCCTCCTCAACCGCACCAAGGAGAAGGGCAAGAACCGCCGCACCAAGGAGGAGATCCGGGAGCAGGATGAGGAGGTGATCCGTGACATCATCAAAAACAAGATCGACATCCAGGGGGGCTACCAGAAGCCCAACCTGTCAGACATCCTGCTGTGCCAGATCGTGCTCTCCCCCTACTACCTGACCCAGTACGCCTCCTGGTACGCCTCCTGGTTTTACCGCTTCACCATCTGCAGGGAGGAGTACGGCGAGGAGGAGAAGTTCTACATCATCAGGTCAGTTCTCGCATTCCAAGCGTTTGACCTCGGGTGCAGGATAGCATTGCGCTACCCGGATGAATGAGATGAGTCGGGACACCTTTAGCACCCCGGCGCCGTCTCACAGCCGACTCTTGTGTTTTCGCTCTCAGGAGGAACATGAAGATGTCTCAGTCCCAGTTTGACGGTGTCGATGAAACTACCAGGCAGTCCTTCCTGGAAAAACGGCTCTGGATCAGAGAAAACTACGAGGTTTGTCACTTTAAATTCTCTCCGTGGAATCCTTTGCATTCCTTTTCCATCATTCACTTCATTTTTATTTTGGACCTCTTCCTTTGTTTCTTTTCTATTCTTCCCGCTTTACTTTGACTTCTTTTTAAGATCTTACTTCTATATTGTCCTCACTTACCTCCTCACCTCGTTTCCCCCTATGGTCCTCTTAAGCCGGAGATATACTTGCTGTTAACTAGGCGTTTGGCCGCACCTCGCCTATCCTGTGTTTGTTTGGAGCGTTGGTTGTGAACGTCCTCAGAAATTGACTCTACACGTCCGCTATATGCAGTACGCACATAAACACATCTCCATCCTGGTGAAGAAAGCTCATAAACAGCTGTGTTTCTTCAGGAAACTTAAGAAGGCTAAATTCCTGTGCCAAGTTCTTTTTAACTTTTTTACAAAGGAGCACTAGAAAGCTTCCTGACTGGAGACATTACAAACTAAGGACTATGTTCCAGGACAGGAGGCTCTACAGCAGGTGACAGAAACCACCAGGAACATCACTGGTCTACTGAGCATCAGTGATATTGGTGAGAAGAGGAGCCTGAGAAGAGCTCAAAGGATATTAAACGACTAAACCCACCCAGACACAACCTGTTCACCTGCTGCTATCTGCAGAGAGATACAGAAGTATCAGCGTGCAACCCTGTTGTACAGTGACAATGAGTTAACCATGTAACCATGGCAGTTTGAGGGCAGTAAGGCGATGTGACACGGAAGTGCTTGATTTATGGGCCTTACATACCATCTACGATGGCTGTCGCTTTTTCTGCCCCCGATCTCCAGAATTAACAACAAAGTAACCTCGAGTTACGCCATGTTTTTTGTTTACATCACACCAATATGGAAGTTCTATACGGTCTGAGTTCTCCAGTAGAAAACTCCAGCAAACCCCCCCGGAGGACATAAACAAGTATGTCAACGATTCTGTTCACGACACATCCGGCATGGCTAAAAAAAGCAAGTTTAATCTCCGGCTGTAGATGAGATCCATTGCTCTCAATGACAATGCTAACATGCTAATGTTTAGCCAAAATGTTCACCATTTTCACCATCTTAGTTTAGCATGTTAGCATTAGCATGGCTAATTGCAGCTTTAAAAATCTTGATATTTCTAT